CCCCGCCGCGGCTGGGGGCCCGGCCGAGCCGGGGGGATGGTTGACGTCGGGGTCCACCGACCCCCGGTGTGGCCTGGGGCCCGGTGGGACCAGGGGGACGGCTGACCTCGGGGTCCTCCGACCCCCGTGCAGGAGCCGGAGCTGCCACAGTAGCGTTGGCTTCGTGGGGGGCTTCAGGCGAGTCTCCCCATATGTGTGTTTGAACTGGAGCTTAGTGATGGGTTTTGTGTTCTCCGCTCGGAATCCGAGGCTGGGAAGGGTCGTGTTGCTCTCAATAGTGCAGCTCTAGGGACGTTACTGAAGCTAAAAGCTGAGCCAGCTTTACCATGAGTGCTCTTAAACTGACCTGACTGGCTCTCAGTTTATTAGCAGCATTTGGTCTAATTTCTAAACACTGTGGTGTTGCAAAATCAGGATGACAAACTGTTGAATCTGTTTTCTTTGTTGTAGGTTCTCACTGTCCTTCATGTATTTTTGATGTTTGTCTCATTAGTCCTTTTTGGACTGAGAGGTTAAGGTAAACGTTAGACTTCAGAGGAATTACTGTCGTAAGAAGGAACAAGATGTTTATATTCTTATCTAACATACCTATTCTGAAACTCAATACATCTCTAACATCTATTAAAGTATAACTTCTTCAGTATTGGGTTGTCCTCTTTCTTGTTCTGATTAAGATGGTGAAACTAGGTGGATTGGTTTTCCGTCCATTTACATTTGAATTTAGGGTCTTCTGAAGCGTGTGAAGGATGTCTCGTGTATGTTGGGTTTTCTGAATGCCCCCACTCACACATCAGAACAGGTACGCAAGTCACCTTGCCGAAACACTTGCAAACTTGTTGACAGAAGTAATCCTCTTATTCCGCTCAGAAGTCTGAATTGTATCTTGTGGGGATGACTGAAAAAAGATGAGAAATTGAAACTGATGAGCCTATAAATAGGGGTAATTAAACTACCTCTCACTGCCTCCCTGAACGCTATGGTTGTGACAGCTGAGACTCAGAACTGATGCAATCTCTCCTGCTCACAAGAAAATGATTAGAAAAGCCTAATCACGGCATGGAAAAATATATTGGGTTTTTTTTCCTTTTCTCTCTGCAGTTTGATAAGAAGGAAATAAGCTGGGAATGACAAACACAGGTCCTGTTCATCTTTTCTGGACTATGCTAACAAAAAAAAGAGAGGATTGTAGCACGGCTGTATTTCCTACCGTGTATTAGTTTTCCACAAAAGGTTTCCTGCTTGGCTGACGTCCCCTTAGCATTGTCAGCGAGATCCCTGCTGTTTCACTGCTTGCTTTACTGCCAGCGTTTTCCTCTTACCGTCACCTAGTCAGGGACTTGGAATGGTATGCTGCCGAACCCCCGAATCGGAACTGCTGCGAGGAGTATTCCGTGCATAGCGAGGACAGCTAGTTTAATTAGAGTGTGGGTTTGTGTGTGCGTGTGTTACTTTCTTGATTGTATTTATTGGCTGTGATGTCCTTTGCTTGGGACAGCCTCTGCACCTGCTCATCATAGAGGTTGAAGAAGGAAAGTAGAAAGAACCCCTCTAAAATGCATTCCATCCCTATAAAAGGAAGCGTAAGAGAAAGTCCTCTATAGGGCTTAAGTTACTGGTATCTGTGTCCGCAGTCCCCTTGGCTCTCTCCTCCAGTTTTGGAAGGGATGTAGCCACCACGGTTCAAAAGCACACATGTGATGGCAGTACTTCAAATGAAGCGATCTTGATCGCCAGTCCGGAACCATTTACCAGAGATCACTAACACCCCCATTTTTCTATTTGGGGTGGCTGACAGTTGCATCTTCCTACTCAAAGCCAAAAATACAAAGATGAGAGAGCAGGAGTACAAGTTACCATTAGAACAAAAGTTACGTAAAGTGCATTAAGCGCCATCAGTCGTCCAGATGCAGCTTTTCTTTTGCTGCACTTTTTGCCACCTTCAGTAGGAGCGTATGTATACGTGGGGTGACACTTTTGGTTTTAGACAACCCATCATCTTTTTAACCTCTCTCCTTTAAACCCAACTTATTTGCAGTCCGTTCTGTGCATTAAATTATTATTTTTGTCTTATTTCACATCTTTTTACCAACTCAACCACAGCTACTTCCAGATGCATTAGCGTTTAGGGTAAGATACATCGTATTTTAACTGAGCTTTATGGAATGTCACCCTGTAAGAATAAATCTGTAGGGCTGATTCCAATAAGTTCTCCTTTGTATATTTATACTTTTTTGGATATAAACTGGAAAACTTGCACAGGTGTCTCTTGAATCCTGTGCCTATTGTGAAAGCTCAAAATGTTGATGCACTTTGGTTTGTTTTTTGTTTTCTCCTAATGGAAGTAAAATTTTGGGGGTGGAAGTGTGGTAAAGATCAGCCTCTGCAGACCAACCAGTCGTGTTCTGAACTGTTTTATGTTCAGTTCATCCCAGGTACTGGTGCTTGTGCAGTTTCTTTTGTGAAACTGCATCAAAACTGAGCTTCTCTTGACCTTCAGTAGTCATTAGGTAATGATATATTTATTTATTAAGCCATCCCCATTTGCTGCAATAACTTGGAAGTGTTGTTTTGGTTTTTTTTTCTTAGTTGTTCTCCAGTTAAAGAAATGGTAATATTCACTGGATTTTCTTGTTGCAAGCAGAATATTCTTAACTTGAAAAAAAAGGCAAGATTAACAAGAATCAGTTACTTCAAAAATGGAGTTGGTACATAGGTTAATCCCAATTCCTATTTGAATGACTTGCTGGAGGTTTGGATATGCTAGAATCTCACGGAATCTATGTCCGTGAGAATGGGCTGGAGAAGGCCTTGGTAGGAATATCGTCAACTTTTCAGTACAGAAGGAATTGTTACGATTGCAGCAATATCCCCGAATTTAGCCATGCACTCGGGTATTTTGCTGCTTCAGCAATTCAGCTTGAAACGCTGATGGTATTGGGGATGATCAGAAACGCTGTGCAATTTTTCTTCAGATACAGCGCTCGTGCCTGCGATGAGATTGGTTGCAGAGCCTTTCACCTTGATGTTCTGCTTTCCCTTGGAGAACTAAGAACCTTGTGTACAAAGAGGGGTAGCTCGTGTTCTTTCCGCTGATAGGAGTGTGTGTTTTCACTCGTGCCCTGTGTAGCGTCTGATTTATGGCAGCTCTGAGAAATAAAGGCCGTCTTTTACTTGCCAAAGACAAGCCTGACAGAGCCGCTAGAACACTACTTGGTTGCTGTGTTCGCATCGCTGTCCCTGGGCTACGTGGTGTTTGGTTTGGGGTTGTTGTTGAAGTTTGTCTGCTAAGATCACACCTCAAAAAAAACTCCTTTCATCCAGAACACGCAGATGTAGTTTAGTGCTGAGAGTGCACTGAAAACCCTCGATCAGAGATAAGGGAGAACGCAGATGTGTTCGCTGGGCGGCTAAGAATAAGTCTCTCAAAAGTTAATGCCATAGGTGGGGACACTGAGCTGCTTCGATATAGACCATATACAGCTCTCCTTTGGCAGGGCACTATATTAGTCATTCAGAAAGCTGTTTGTGGGTGGTGAATATCAATATGAGATTCCTCGGTATTTGTATTTAAGCGGGATATGTTCGGACTGGAGGAATTGCCATGGTAGTTTGGAGACGGAGCAGGGCTCTTGTGTCTGCAGCGGTCAGCACTGCATTCTTTGGAGGAAGGTGGAAGAAGGCTGGGCAGCTGAATAGGTTGTCCCCAAGTGAAGTTCCTTCCTGCTCCCTATCAGCTGGTACCCTAAAGCATGAGGTTTTGTTGAATTTTTACCTTTTAAAATGTTGTCAAGTGTCACTTTGGATGTTTTGGTTTATTTTGCGGTATTTTTCCTGATTGCCTTTCAGTTTCTTTGTGTGTCCTGTCTTCCAAGAGCAAGGAAGATGCGTGACGTGTGGTCTCTGTTTAGATTGTATACTTTGATATAATTTTCACCCAAGCAGTCTGAATTTGTGTCGATACAGTTCTTTCACTTACAGGGCGTTTCTTACCAATATGTAAAATCGCAATGTAATATGAAATGTACAATTTACACTTTCTGCTAAGAATCAGATTCTTACTTATTTAGGAACAAAATTCACTACTTCCTGTTTTTGGAGCTGTTGATTTTTCTGTTTAGTCTTGTCATGTTAAGTTAACTCTGAAAACCAGAAGATCTTGTATTTATTGATTAACATGCTTTATTTTTAACCTCTTAAAGATGGTTTCATCCAAATATTACTGGGGTGGAGGCAGAAAACCTGCTGTTAACAAGAGGAGTGGATGGCAGCTTTCTGGCACGACCCAGCAAAAGTAACCCAGGAGACTTTACGCTCTCTGTTAGGTAAGTTTAAATGGCAAGGGTTTTTTTTGTCTGTCTCCCCAGATTGGTAATGCCTTCATTTGATGCTGTTTGATGCGGAAAGAGTTGTAAATGAACTACTTGTAAGAGATGAAAGAATTCATGGTTCCCTTCCCCCTTCTTTTTTTTTTTTTTTTTTACCTTCCTGTTTGCTGTGAAAAGGTTCTCAAATACTTATACTCAACTTGGGGAAGCTATAGGTTGGAGGGTGGTGAATTCTGCAGGGACAGAAAAAGTTAAGGGTAAGCAGTAGATTCATAATAGCGTTATTTTAGCCCTTGAAAAACTCTTTGAAAACTCTCTGAAAGTAGCAGAGATGAAGTGAATTACTGATCAGGTACGTGCAAGGAAATGCTACCCAGACTCTCTTCTTACAGGAAAAGTCAGCACATTTTTAAGGATGACTGCTTCCAAAACAGGCCTTTTGTAACACTGGTCCCCTGACCCGGTGGATAGCAGTAGGGATGGGGAAAGGACGGCAAGAGGAAGTCGATAAGGGAAAAGTGGGATTGGTGATAAGAATAATACTGCTTGGATACCTTTGAGATAATGGGCCTTGTTGAACAGAAGGAGACCCTTTCAGAGACCTGTTCTTCGTTCATACGAGGGACTGTGGGAGCAAGTGCCTTGCATCAGGCAAAGGAACTGTTTACTGAAGGAGAGATCTTAGCAGTTAGTGTGAAATTCTTGGGAAAGGAGCAAACAAGCTCTGATGGGCGTCTTGAGACTGCTGAATTCTTCTCACCCCTCCACCCCTTGTGTTTGTGTGTGCAGTTCTTGGAGGGCTGAGGGATTTCCGTGGAGATCCTGAGGCTACAGAGCTTGCTCTGGCTTCAAGAATTCTTTTGTTAAGGAATTAAGGTTTGGTTTTTTTTTTCCTATTCTTCCTGACTGTTAGACAGCCACTTCCCCTTCTTGCAAGCCACTGAAATGTGGCTGAAGCACACTTCAGAGGTGCGCTAGCTTAGCTATTCTGCAGTGTTTCAGTTGGAACGGGATGGAAAGGTAAGTACGGATTTCGCTCACTCAGACAAAAGAATGCGAAATGAAAGTGGTCGATTGGAAATCCGCTGACTGTGTGGGGTGTTTTTTCCTTCTTCCCAAATATTAGACGAACTGGGGCTGTCACCCACATCAAGATCCAGAACACAGGAGACTACTATGACCTCTATGGAGGAGAGAAGTTTGCTACGTTGGCTGAGTTAGTCCAGTATTATATGGAACATCATGGACAGCTCAAGGAAAAGAATGGGGATGTTATAGAGTTGAAATACCCGCTGAACTGTGCTGATCCTACGTCTGAAAGGTCAGAAATAGCGGTGAACACTCGAGTGTCCATGCACGCTTTAATAAATGGGTGTGTTTATCCCTGTTAGCTCTACAGTCAGCTTCCATTCGGTGGAAGGGTGGCTGCTGTCTTCTGCTAAAAGTGGTCCCGCTGATTTCAGTGAGGTTACTTGCAAAGTGGACTAATGGACATGGCTAGAGGTAAAACAATCTTAAGCCCAGAACCTATTTCCTTCAGCATTCTTCCTGGTGTGGTACAATACTAAAATAGAGGGCGTAGTTCCTTTTATTTTTTCAGGGAGAATGTTTTATTATAGAAGTTCTCCCAAAGCTTCCTGAAGCTGTTGCAACTGCAGGGGATTCCCAGGTATATTTCTGGGCATAACTTCATACAATTTTTCCAGCAGTGGGCATATGTGTAAGAAAGTGAATGACATGCAAATGCTCAAACTCCTGTTTTTAGGAGTGTGGCTAATAAGGAGAACCTGAGATGTCATGTATGCTGAGGAAGTGTGTGTGTTAGAAATAAACCTGTGTGGCCAGTAGATACCAGTTTATTCTCAGAAGGGTAAAAAACAAGGAAAATAGAAAAAGAAGTTCTCTCACTCCTCAGAATGGCATGTGTTTAAGAGTAGTGGGGAGCGTTATTGCCCTTTTGGCCACATTTCTTGAAGAAGTGAGACTGATGTGATTATCCTGTCCAGTTCCTAATGTGATGGAAGGGTCTCAAAGACGCTAAGTTCCCACACGTTTATCAGGAAAGTGCATCCTCATGAAGGAAATAAAAGAATAAATGCCTTGAGTGAGGCAAACTTGCAGAATAAGCTCGTGTTCATTGGACACCGGGGAATCCATTTGGGCTTGTGTAAAGGATCCAAATCAAAGCTTCATTTGAAGCTTGCGTGAAATGCCAATTTCGGTGCTTATGGAAGTGCTTTGAAGTTTTTCTGTAATCACTCGTGTATACGTGCATGTACACTTTGAAGGCTTATTTTGGGTTTTTATTTTTATAAACTGAGGCTCTTTTAGACTTGGACATGGTTGCTCAGTGTATATAAGTGTTTTACTTGATTACGAATATGTAGAACAAGTGGATTCAGGCATGGCTGGAATGACAAGTAGGGTACCTGTCTATATCTTACTTTATTTAAAGGTGGTTTCATGGGCATCTCTCTGGAAGAGAAGCTGAAAAGCTATTAACAGAAAAAGGAAAACATGGAAGCTTTCTTGTGCGTGAGAGTCAGAGCCACCCTGGGGACTTTGTTCTTTCTGTCCGGACAGGAGATGATAAAGGAGAGAGTAATGATGGGAAATCTAAAGTGACACATGTCATGATTCACTGCCAGGTATGATGAAGCACAAGCTGCTTTAAGAGGGCTACTTCCACGGGCAGTTGGTTTATTCGAACAGTTTATTCAATCCTACACGTTGCTACGGAGAGCTGAACGCATTTCCCTTTCCCTGTGGTACTCTATGTGCTGTGTATCATCTGTTTGATCAAATTGACTAATTTGATGGCATCAAAATTCTATTAGTGTTTTGGTTTGGTTTTTTTGACTGCTTGCCTGACTGAATCATGTCATATTATACTATGCTGTCAAGTACCTTCTAATAGATTTGCTTTTGATTGCATCAGAAGTCTGTCTCAAATCCTCTGCTGATGGAGCCTTTCATGTTCATGAATCTTCTTAAGCGAGTTGCAGTCTCCTGGATAAATTATATAGAAATAGGAGTAATTGGACAAATAGGGACCTGTCCGAGTGTATCTATTTCTCCTGTCTGTTGATAAAGTTGATAGATGATCAACATTCTGTGAAAATTTGGAGTATTAAATCCAAGGAACGCTTTTAAATGTAGAGTTTGAATTTAATACAGGGTAGTTCTTCACTGAAGAATTGCTGTATTATAGTCTCTTTATCTTTGTATATTCCCATGGGTTGCTATTAAAAATAATAAATCAGATATTTTCTTATCCTAAAAGACAGTGTAACAACTTAGTTGTTTAAAAACAACTAAAATGCAGTAGCAGAAGTAATTTGGAGATTGAAATGGCCTACCAAGACTGTAAAAGCTAAACTACCAGAATTTTGTAACTATTTGATTTGCAGTTAACTACTAGTAGCATTTATGGCATTGAGGAATATAACTCAGCACTGCTTCCCTAAACTAGGGATGGTGCCAGTCAATACTAGCCTTTCAGGACACAATGATCTTCTTGGCTTTGGAAATCAATTCAAATTCCTATCTCCTGGATTCTAATCATGTAGCTCAGGCAGCCTGGTCGATCAGAGTGAACCTCACTTCAGAAGGAGTCATCTCTCCTGAAAAGGCAGATAAAATGATTTTCAATTAGATGACAAAAAGGCCGATGTCCTCCATAGTGTGTGTGTGTGTTTTCGTTAAGGTTCTACCATCTCTGAGCAGAAGGGTTTTACCAGATTCTTCTATATAGGGTTGTAAAGAAAATTTCTCATGTGCTGCATAGCCTAAAGATATTAGCGTAGACTTCATCGTGCATTTATTCTGATGAGCATCTGTCTTTCAAGGATCTAAAATACGATGTTGGTGGAGGGGAGAAATTTGACTCTCTGACAGATCTAGTGGAGCATTACAAGAAGAACCCAATGGTAGAAACTTTGGGCACAGTATTGCAGCTCAAGCAGGTGAGTGACTGGAGGAGACACCGCGAAGATTTGTTACGTTCAGCGTGTCTTGTTGAAGTGCAGGCTTTTCCGTGTGTTCTATGAGACTTCCTGATGCAAAAATGAAGAATTAAACTTTGTGAAACTGGATGACAGAGCCATTTAAACAGCAACAATTTTTGATATGCCTGTGAAGGACAGACTTTTATGTCTGTGATGCATGCAGAACTTCTCTTGGTTCCACAGGGATTGCAGGACTAGTCCAAAAATGAGACGACTTAATGTATCAGAGAACAACTGTGAGACTTTATCTAAAAGCAGTTGTTCTCTGCCTCCTTCCTCCCTACCCTCAGCGAATTGCCAAGTTTTGAAGTCCAAATAAATGCCTGGATCCTAGAATTGACTATATAAAATACACTTAGGGGGGTTGTGGTTTAACTGTCTCTTCATATTTGTCATTTGTTACACCTTTGTTTAATATTTGTGTCTTCCTTAGCCTCTGAATACTACCCGTATTAATGCTGCAGAGATTGAAAGCAGAGTGCGAGAGCTAAGCAAGCTAGCAGAGACTACAGATAAAGTCAAGCAGGGCTTCTGGGAAGAATTTGAGGTATTTCATTACATTCCAAGTGTTGTGGTATTAAATCTCTACACTCCTCAGAAGTTAGGTTTGTTCCTGTCTTCCTGACATTTTTTCATCTTCCCCTCTTTCGCTTCAGAACCTTGTTCTTGCTCCCATCTCCTGTGTCAGGTACAGCATGGCTTAAAATTTTACCACCTCCATTCTTGTATCTGCTAGCAAAATGATGGAAATATCTGTCTTTTCTCCTGATGCTGAGACCTAATTATGTTCTTCAATGCTGTTTATTCAGTACCTAGCACAATCCCCCCTGAATATCCTCCCCGTCATGAGGTCACCTTATGTACAACTGTATCTCACCCACCAGGACAGTTTATCAGGTTCATTCCTGTGCTCCTCTTGTGGACAGGAAGAGATCTGTAGGCTGGATTAACGTTTCTGGAGGCAAAGGACTAATTCCTAGCCCATGCTACTCTTGGCCCAAGTACCAGTACGGTAGCGGTGTCTGATGCAGGTGGAATGTCAGATGTGCGTGTGAAGGGAATTGCACCATGCTTTCTGCTGTGTTTGGGGGGTTGAGTGCTGTTGCTTTGAGGAAACATCAGTGTGATTTCTCAGTCTATATATATATATGCTCTTGCCCTTGAGTTTGTGGCTTTTTAATAGCCGTTTTTGGGGATTTTAACACTTTTTTGTGAAATGGTAGTGGTAGCAAGCTCTGAGGTGAAGCAACATTGATTATATGTATTCCTTGGACTCCTGGGGATTTATTTTTGTTTTGTTTGGGTGTTTCATTTCTGCCTGCAGCCAAAATTCCATTTCCACTCTCAGAAAGTAGCATGGCCTTTCCTTCTGTCTTATCCATGCACCTCGTGTGTGTGTGTAACGTAGTATGCTGGCCCAGCTCCCCCCTTTGAAGTCCTAACGATTTCACGGGGCTGCTTATGTTTGAAAAACAAAAACAAAACCAAACCAGCTGAAACTGTTAATTTCTCAAGCAGAGCAAAATAAATATGAGTTAATTAACACATTCCAAACTATGAGTCTGGACCCTAACAATTGGAGGCACTTGCTTTAGTAGTGTCTCAAATAGGATGGACTGGTTCGTGCCAGACACACCTAAGGAAAACACGGGGGAGTCTGGAACTCTACCGGCAGATGGCAACAGGAAACTGAGAAGTCCTGATCTTTGACAGAGAGGCTGGCTTCGGCTGTGTAATGCTATTTTGAGAAACTTCTTGAATAGTGATGGATTTGCAAAGCAGCCATTCTTGAAGAAGCTCTTTTTTGGTCAGACATGCTCATTACCTAAATGCACTGTCCAGTCTGCTCTGAGATAATTGTCAGGAGAAGAAAGATAATGAAAAGCAAAAGTCATACCAAAGAGGTAACACATTTCACTACGAATTTGGATGGAATAGAAGGTGAGGTCATGACAGTGGGGAAATGATAAAATGAAAATTAAGCTTTCTCCTCTCTCTCCCCCTGTGCCCAGTGCAGGGGGAGGTGGTGCAGTCCTTGACCCAGGGCTGCTGAGTGGTCAGAATCCCACCTGGAGGGGGAAGGAAGCAAGCAGAAGCTGCTCTGGCTGTTGCTGAGGACTTGGGACTCTGTTTTACCCTAATAGTAGTGGTGGATCCCTTGGGGAGCCGTTCTCACCTATTGCTTGTGAGCCTGGCTGGGAGGAGTTAGGCCTCAAGCCTGGCATCGCTTCCCTTCTAGAGTTCCCCACCTGAACTGATGTGGGGCCCAGAGGGTCAGGAAGATAAGCCACATGGCTCTGATGGCTAAAACTTGCATATGGGGATGAATGGCTGCTCCAAAGACTGATGAGCGGTGTGTCATACGACACAGTCGCGGCTGTGCCCGTGTGGTTTAGCCTGAATGCACATTTGCAAGTTAGCCAAGCACAGGGCATCTGCTGGCTTCCCTGGCGACCCCACACGTACCTCACTCGTAGTCATGGGGCATAAAAAGCAAAGAGTGTGCCCTGTTGGCTTGGCCTTCTTGTAGTCGGTGCTGGCTTACAAGAAGCTGTGTGGATTGATGTTTGGGTTTAGTTTTCCTTGAGGGAAGCATTCTCGTGCGGTGTGTTTAAGAGTAGAGTGTTGATTGGTCAAAATATGACTGAGCTATTGCTTGACACTTCTGGCTTCTTTTCTGACCTCTGGTCTCTGCTCAATAAATGAGCCTTGTAATGTATTTATCAGTTGGTCCTTAGAAGCAAGGTGTTTTCCTGTCTTGTGTCTGTCCTGAAGAGTATTTGCAAATAAGCCAGAAGTCTTACAGAAAAAGTAAACGTGAGAAATAAAAGTATTTACCTGTGAGACTTTCCACTTCCCTTTCCCCTTCACTGCTGCGAGTGAGGACAGCACTAAACCTTATTATTTTTCCGCTGCGTTTTTGAAAATGAAGCAGTCTCCTGGCAGTTTTAGTGTCACGCTTTTTCATTCCCCTCAGGTGAGCTATAGCTGTCAGCCTTGGTGGCAGGGGGGCAACCTCCAGGTTGTCCATGGATCTCCGCCTGTGCTGTTTATGCTTTGGCAGTCCAGATGGTAGTTATAAATTACTTGTCTTCAGGCATATTTAAGAATGTACCTCTTGTCCTGTAAACCACTAGACAGAAATGTTGACAGTCCTTGTAATGTTTTTGCTGGTGAAAAATGGCTGTTTGGTGAGCTTAAGCCTCGGATGTTGTAGTGAAATTGAAGACTCTGTTTCAGATTTATTGTCGCATTGTGTACATCTCTTAATGGGCTTGTTAGAAGTTGCTGCTGCTCATGGATCTCTCCTCAGGGATGCTCAAAGCAGTGATAATTAACTGTATGAAGTGAAGATGTGTTTGAAGCTATAGTTTCCGCACACTTAATTGTTTCCATTTTGTTTAACCTGCTAGCAAAGTTTAGCTTTCGGTTCTTTTCTTGACGTTTCACTTGGCTGAGACTCAAAAGTGTTAATATTACATAAGGGTGCGCTGCGATAACGTCGGGTGAAAGACTTGCAGTGTGCAGCAGGTGAGCTTACTGCAGAGTGCTCTTTCACCCATCGCCAGTAGTAGCGAGCAGTGCTTTATAGCGATGTGTTTTCGTAAGCGCAAAACCTCGCGGCCCTCCTGTATTGCTTTTGTTCTTAGTTTCCCTGTCTTTAGGATGAGCCTAATTGTCCAAGGTCACCAAGTGAGGCAGTAACAATAACAGAGACTGAAATAGAAGTGAGCAAATGTGCCTGACATGCCCAAGCGTTAAAGCAATCTCTGCAAGAGTATTAAGAGTGATAATAACAAGGGGAGCGACTTCCAAAGCCTGAGCGTTCCTTTTAGTCAGGCCAGAACTGCTTTGGGGATTAAAACCTGGAACAAAGACATTGAGATTCTGGTCTCTCCAGCTTCATTGCGAGTAGGGAGATTTGCTGCTAAGCAGCATGGCTGTCAAGTATGGAATTGCTGTTGTCCCTGTCATATTAATTGGGAACCAGGCACTGAGAAATTAGCTCCCTGCCAACAGGAGAAATCCCCATGCAGATTTCTTGTTTCTGCGCTGGGACGATTTATGGATAACCCTCTTTGTTACCTAATGCCTCCTCCCTTCCCCCAGCAGGGTAATATGAGACAGTCTGTGCAGAATTGGGTACTGGTTGAGTGAAATGGCTGTGTTGGTAGGAGAGAATAATTAGAGCACTTGAAGTGGTGCATGGCTGTGGTGGTGGGTTGTATGTTGGAATTTTACGTGTCTCATCCATACCTTTGAAAATACCATACCATTCCCACGTGGACTTTTGTTTTGGGGGAGTAGACAAGAATATCTTCCTAATGTTCCGCTTCTAACTGCTGGAGGACTTCCCACTGTGCTTGATATTTAAATGCAGTTGCTCGTGTTGATGTGCTGCTTTGGGTTTTCTGTAGGCTCCTGCCTCCTCTTTGGATGTCTGGAGTTGGTCTGGATGCAGCCTGCAAGGCTCCACTCCTGCGGTGTTGCCTTTGCAGGCTCGGGGACTGGTTCTGGGGCCTTTCCAGTGTTACTGCACACTGGCTGTAGCTGAAGGAGCAGAAGGAGGCCAGTAAGGCCTAGAGGGATCCAGTGCAGCTCAGGTAGAGAAGCACTCCTGTGCCTTACTCCTTTGCAGGCTGGCAAAGTTTTGAATATGTTAGTTACCGATCTTACCGGTGCTAAAGCTAATGCCAAAACAGTGGAAATTTAACTCCTTTTAGTGCCTGATTCAGAAAAAAGGAGAAATACAGTAGTATTCTTAACTTTTATGCTTGGTGAGGAAGTCTTAGTGATAAAGTGTTAGTGATAAATGTGTTTATTTGGACCTGCTCTGTAGAATGATGCTTGTGTTGTTTGGTTTCTTTAGCGTGCCTTTCGATGGCCAGATTTCCCCGGACAGAATTTTGTTGTGGTCCTTTGTAACCAGTTACGTTTTCCTTGCACGGTGTTTTACAGCTAAAAGCTTTAAGGGACCAACTTGCATCTGCTCGGTCAGAACAGTATCACGAGGACTTGCTGGTTTGTGGTTTAAAGAAGGTTTGAATTCGTAGGTGTTTATCAAATCAGATGAAGACCAGCTTGCCTTGTCTCTCTTGCTCCTGTGTTTCTCATATACCTTGGAAACAATGCCGTACTGTCTGAATGGAGAAATCCAGTACCTCTCTGACTATCTGGCTTTATAGTATTGTGAGAAAGGATCACTGTAGTGATGGTGAAACAGTCCATACTGCTTGTATTAAAACCAGTTATTTGTGCTGTTTTCATTTAGACCCTGCAGCAGCAAGAATGCAAACTTCTCTATAGTCGTAAAGAAGGTCAGCGGCAAGAAAACAAAAACAAAAATAGATATAAAAACATTTTACCCTGTAAGTATGGATTTCTTTTGTCATAACGTAAGCCTGCTACGCTTGCTTTTCTTGGCTTATAAATACAGGGTTAATTAATCACTGCTGTGCTTTTCCTTCTCCTCAGTGATAATGTCCCCTCTCATGCTGTCAGTATTAGCCCATGCAGTTTCCAATTTGTGTTCGAATATTTGTGCTTTGTAGATACCAGTATTTCGATTCCCAAATACTGGTTTTATCTTCAGCTTTCATTTAGAAGCGTCACATCCCTAAACTGTTAGTCAGCAAACTGGAATGCTTCCATTTAAGCGGATTAATTTGTGGTACAAAACCGCATGCTACAAATCCAGGGACCAGTTGCCTTGACTTAGTGCTTGACTGTCCGTGTGCTCACGAGTTCCTAGGGGGCACGACCACTTATTTTGATCTAGATTGTTTTGAGTTGGCCACTTGTTTTAACAGATGGCAGGACAGGAAGGTTTGAACATCCTAGCCACTAATTTACTGAGTTGGGTAGCTTGATAGCTTCTGGGAGGAGTAAGAAGTGTACCTACCTGTGGGATGTTTAAAAATAGCTGTGTGTTCACAACTGTAGGATGCAAGTGCTTAACATATGTGTGTATTCTTTCAGTTGATCATACCAGAGTTGTTCTACATGATGGTGATCCAAATGAACCTGTTTCAGACTATATCAATGCTAATATTATTATGGTAAGTAAACTCCTGCCTGCAGGAGTCTTGTTAGCACACGCATATCTACTTTGTAACATACTCCCCTAAATCTTGGTCAGTCTTGTAACCATTTGTCACCATCTGTTCAATTGTGGTGTCTTTTTTTTTTTTTGGTCTAGCCTGAATTTGAAACCAAGTGCAACAACTCAAAGCCAAAAAAAAGCTACATTGCTACCCAAGGTTGCCTACAGAATACAGTGAATGATTTTTGGAGGATGGTGTTTCAGGAGAACTCACGAGTTATTGTTATGACAACGAAAGAAGTTGAAAGAGGAAAGGTAAAAAGAGACTCTCAAACTGGCCTTAGGAAAGGTCATGACATTTGAGTGCAAGTAAGGACTAAATTGACCTGGTTATATTGATTGGTGTGCCGAAATCTGGTCTGCCACCACTGGCTTTGGACACCTGGAAGGTGCTGAGTGTCCTTTTTTATTGGTGTCTGTGGGAATTGAGGGTATGCTCCTATCACATCATCAGAACTCCCTGTTTTTAAGGGTTGACTGATTACATTTTAGCTACTGGATGTGAATGGATGTATTTCAAAATCATTCAGGGAATGAGGCACTGGAATGCAAGATGTAGCCAAACAGGGATTCCGTGTACTCAAAGGGGTGAACTCCCCATTCCTGTAACAGAAGTACAGCCATTTGCTTTAGCTTACATAGCTTGTATAGATGTCTCTAGAAAAGCAGAATTGTGGGCCTTTATTGCTATAAGAATGAATTTAGATGATAGTGCTTCTTACCTAAAACCCACAATATAATGTCAAAGTTACTGCCCCAGATTCTCCTCATTCAGGTCATATTTACTAGAATGCCATTCTCCCTTCTGGTTTTACTTTCTGTGCTTGAATTTGATAACGTTCTTACTACGTGCTAAGCTAGTGATTACAACTGAAACCGTAACTGGTTAGGAATCCCTCAACCAGGTGTGGTTTGGCTCTTTTGTTCCTAAATTCGGGTCCTTTGCCTTTCCTGTTCTGCATGAACACAGCTGCCTGTTCAGCCTCGGGAATCTGCGAGCCCCTTGTGAACTGCTCTGGCAGCATTTAATGCTCTGCAAGAGGAAATGGTGTATCCCAACGACCTCCGCTTTACTGTTAAAGTACAGAGTCCTGGTCTTTTTCACTGTCTTCTGGCAAATCTGAGGCAATTACTTTGTTTCTAGGTTCTAATGACATATGGCAGGAAAGAATAGGAAACAGTTGAATGCTGATACTCTGGCAATGGTCACACACTGCTTCCTGTATATTACTAGTTTTATCTTTGGAATGTGTTGCTTCTGATCTCTCTCTTTTTTTTTTTTTTTAATTTGATGATAAACAATTTTGTGGGGTTTTTTTTAAGTTTCTCTGCTTTTTCCGCATACCACTGTCCTCCTTTTCCAATAATCCAATGATCTGTTTCTGAATGGAAAGCTTTTACCTTGTTAGATGAGCTCACTTTTTGAGAAACTACCCTGTTCCAGTGACCTTCCTCTTAGATCTGTCTCTTGGAAGAAGAGAAATAAACTATGGGATAGTTTTGGAAGAGTTGACTTGAGTACATTTAACACACCACTTCTTTTTTGATAACCTACGGCATAGTTTGTACTCCTCTGCAGTTTCTTCATGATTCTTTCCAAATTCTGCTAAGCCTGTTTTCTGCACTCTGGCTGTATAAAACATTTCTGTGTCTGATTACTTAATCAGTGCTGCATGCATTGATTTTTTTAAAATTATTATTCTTTTTTCTTGATGCCTATTTCAGTTCTTCAGGAACTGCAAATAACAGCCCTGATAGAAAATAAAAGTTTTTTTTAGGTCAGGCCAGCATGCTTTCACATCTGCAGGAAGGACAGAAACCTCTGCATCAGGGATGACTTCAAGAGCATGTTGCCTAAGGAAGTGAGGAACTGTGAAACAGCTGAGATCTGCACAGAGTTCTGAATACACCGGAGAGTGCACCGTAGAAGCAGCAAACACTTGCCAATTAAAATAGTGCTGTTCTGGAGGCAGTCTGCTGAGCTCATCCCCTCTATCAGACTAAAGCTTGTTTTACCATTGTGTTATCAGCCAAAAATGGCTGATACCTTTGACTTGTATTTATTTTGCAGGCTGCTGGGTTTTGATTGTAGAAGAGCCTGTAAGGCTACAGCGTTCTGCTGGAAATGCTCAGTATTTTGAAGCCGGCGGTTGGGTGGAGATACAAGTGACAGTATTTTAATCTCTGTATTTTTAAACCTTTGAGGCAAAGCAGGTACTAAGATGGTCGGGAAAGCTGCTAAAAGGAGAGATTGCCTGTATCTGCTTCTCTGAAATCATTTGCTACGGGGAAGAGCAGCCTCCCCGTAAAATGTACTTCGCCATGTGAGCTAGCTGTCCAGTCGGTGCTAGTAATAGTTCTCTGTGCATTCCAGAATGAGATGTTCAGGAATGTTTGTTAACCACTTTACAAACCAGCTGCCTTCTTACTGATTACTCCTTTTTTTTCTATTTTTTTTTTGTTTTAATCTTGCAGAGTAAGTGTGTCAAGTACTGGCCTGATGAATATTCCCTAAAGGAGTACGGTGTTATGCGTGTTAGGAACGTTAAGGAGAGTGCCGCACACGATTACACGCTAAGAGAACTTAAACTTTCTAAAGTTGGGCAAGTAAGTGTATCAGTAACACTGTCCTTTTAATTGAGGCTGCTAAAAATGTGCAGAAATAGACTGTTTCTTTGGAATCGATAAAAGCACTAAGGGATTAATAAATTGAGCCCTGTCTCTTTCTTTGAAGCTCCAGGTTTAGTTCCATACATCTTTCTCTTTGTCCTTGGGATAATTGAAGATTCTTACACCTAAGCACTTTTTGGCAGAAGGTGCACGACTGCAGAGCTTTGAGGAAATTTGGAAAGAGGGATGATGCTTTTAAGTAATCACTCTGGAGTCTAGCTTGGCATTTGCTCCCTTTTGTGGGGGTGGTTGCACTAGAAGAAAATGGTTGTAAGTGGGTCTGGAATGTAGAAAGAACATAAGGAAAGGGAAGGAATACAAAAGATGAGGAAGGAAACTGTGGAAATAGCATTTCCCTGTGGAGCAATTTGGATCGGGGTTCCAAACCAATTGTGTAAGAAAGAAATAAGCAGGATGTACTAGATTGGAATGTCCATGGGATGGAACTGAGTGGGAACAAGAGCATAAGTGCCATGAGCTGTGATGATGACAGGTGAAGGTCCCTCACTGTTGGTCACCCTCAGACAGAACTTTGCCATGGCTCCTAAAGGTGAAGGTGGAAATGTTCTTGGGAACAACTGTGTGAGAAAGAGGGAGCTGAGGAAGCAGGTGGTGTGACTCACTTGTCAGACCGGGAGGAACTCTGCCTTGTTCCCTCCTTTAAGAGGGAACAAGTGGATTCTGTGCCGTGGATACTGAGCAGTGGGTTGGATATGCCACCTTCCGATCAGACTCAGCTCTGCCGTGTGAATGTTTTTGTCTGAATTTTGATCTGAAGGATTTTGTTTTCATGTGTTGGCATCTTCCTTCCAGGGGAACACAGAAAGAACAGTCTGGCAATACCACTTCAGGACTTGGCCGGATCACGGAGTCCCGAGTGACCCTGGTGGTGTGCTGGACTTTCTCGAGGAGGTGCACCATAAGCAGGAGAGCATTTCTGATGCAGGACCAGTTGTGGTCCACTGCAGGTATGGCGATGCACTGCACCTCTCCTGCTCCTGCTCTCTACGCCTGTGGAGTTCTGTGGGATCCTGGTTTTTTTTGGTGGGGGAAGCTGAAAACTTTAGAAGACAACTTTCCCCAAGAGCTACTCAGACTTTCGTCTGTCGAGGTGTTTGTGCTTTCTGTTTTGCAAAGTGATATCCTAGATAGGTGTCCAGTGGTTACCTTGGGAGCGGGCTGTCCTTCAGAATGTGCATGTCTGTGTGAGTAAGAATTTCTGATGCTGTAGGAGAAGGTGGTACCAGTTTTGGCTAGATGCACTTCATATGCAGGATCCTGGAAACTGTAGTGTCCTATCCCACCTCCTCTGAGTGCTCTCTCCTCAGTCTAGGGAGATAGTTTTTATAAGGCAAGGAGATGTTAGATCTGACCTTGTAGGCTTTTTCTGATTCACGGATGTTAATAAACACAGAGGTACAGAAGTGCTGTCTCTTCCCTGTTAAGCTGAAGGTCTCTAGTTACTTTTGGCTGTGTGGGTTGGTTTGACTCTGGGTGTAATTTGGAAGTCTTGCATCCCTTAAAGTTAGACTTTTACTCAGTCTGGTGTTTTGGTGTCTGTTCAGAAAGAGCAAAGCAATTAACTTTTTTTGTTCCCTTTTTGCAGTGCTGGGATTGGGCGAACAGGAACTTTCATTGTGATTGATATCCTTATTGATATAATCAGAGAAAAAGGTAGGTGTGTCCCTCCCCCACTTATTTTCCTGCACAGTAAAGTACAGAACAGATACAGTAAAACAACAGGAGTGTTGCTAGAGCAGAGGATTCGAGTGATGCTACAAACTAGGTGTGTGTGTTTGGCATAGAAGGGACTTGCTCGCTCCTCTTGACATAACTGGAATCCAGGTGCTGGAACCCTGCCCCAGTTCAGCATAATGAAAACTGTCAGCTGAGGATTAGCCAGGAGTCTGGTTATGGTTTTATTATTATTATCTGTATTGTTTATTTCCCTTTTAAAACAATCTGTGAGGGTGTGGCTCTCTGTACTCACACACACTGAATCTGAGTAACTTCTTTTCAGGGAACGGTGTTGTATTTTGGTATAAACTGCCGCAAACACCAACTTGGTGTGTATGTTGGGGTAGGTTGCATTTCAAGTTGTGTTGGAACAGTGTGAAGCGAGGCAGTTTTCTCCCCTGGGCTAGCTTTCCACTTGCTGCCACAGTTCTACGGATCTGTGTATTAGCAGCCGAGGATGAACCCTCCGTGTTGGATGTCAACAATCCTGTTTATTGCGAGATCATTCAGCTACGCTGTGTTCTGCTGGAAGATGAGGCCAATCTCTCCCCCAGAGACAAAGTTTAGGTTGCTGTTCTTAACATTATGGTGATTCTTCCTAGGTGTGGACTGTGATATCGATGTTCCAAAGACCATTCAGATGGTGAGATCGCAGCGGTCAGGGATGGTGCAGACAGAAGCACAGTACAGGTTTATTTACATGGCAGTACAGCACTACATTGAAACGCTACAGCGCAGAATTGAAGAGGAGCAGGTATATTTGTCCTGGTTATAAAATGTTATGTAGGAACATGTTATCATTTGAACAGGGAGCGGAGTTGCTCGTTTGCTGCCTGTGACTTTTGGAGGCATGACTGCTGACGGTATAACCACACCACGAAAAGGCTGGGTCTGTAACCTGTTAACCCTGTTCAGAGAAGTTAGCCTACATTTCAATTCAGTATTCGTAAGAATTACTTAAACTATGAGGTGGAATTAGGAAACAATGTGTTTGGCCACTGCAGAGGAAGAAAATCAGCAGTCTGTGCTGAAAGAAAATCAGACTGTGACTAGTGCTGGTTTACCTTCCATGCAAATGCTTTCATGTATGGGATCCAGTCTTCCCTGCACCCCTGACCTCAAATTCTCTTAATATTATCTAGTTTTCTGTGCAAGCAAAATAAAAGATAAGGCTCTGATAATTAATACAGAACCTTGTGCTCCATTGAGTATTGAAGAGATTAGAGCTAGCAGATTTGAGAAGTATGATAATGAAATTCAAATGCTAGTCAGTCTAACAGCAATTTTGGGGTCTTAAAGTACATGTTTGTTAGTAACATGTACGTATATTGGGCTGAAAGATTAAAGCATGAGAGTGGTCATTTTGCAGTCCAACAAAAAAGCAGTTAAAGGGGTGATCTGGTGTAGTGAGATGAGAAAAGCTTTGGAATACGTGGTGACAACCACAAGACCTTCACCTCACTCTTCCTGTTTAAGTACTTTATTGCACTGAATTTTGACAGTCTTTTACAGAAGTTACCTCAATTTGTAATAAAGAACTGGCATTCTACTCACTGTTGCTTTCATTCTCTGCCCTTACCTCTGATCATCTGGGATTTTTATCTTTCCGTTTCAGAAGTTCAGTATCTCTCCTTCCGCAGCTGGCTTGCTGCTCAGGAGGAGATAAACCCCCCAGCTGCTCAGGCAGATGTGGGGAGCTGCGTGGTAAGCGCAGTGCCAGGTGTGAGATGTAATCCCTGTTTTGGGATGGAGTGTGCCAGCTTGGGCTTGGCACTCTTGGGTGGCTTCTGGCGGCTTTGGAGTGTGGCAGAGCTTGGTTTATATTTGTCTACATGATGTAGGTGTGCTGTTCAGCCGAGAGGATAGAGACTTTATTCCTCTCCCCAGGACAGCTGTTGTGTGCTCTGATGGTGATTAGACACAAAGTGAAGAACAAGAAATCCCTCAGGTGTGCTTTTTTTTTTTCCCCTGGCTTTGTTGTCTCACTTCGCCTTAGAGCTGCCTCATATCTCTGTGTGTGTAATTAGGCAAGCCTTGCATCCTCAGCTTTTTGAATATGGTCTCCTTCTGCTCTGCCGCTTACAGAGTCTATCTGTACCCCTCTCTCTCACTGTAATGGGTTTTGAATAGTATTTTGATACTGAGTGGAGCAGTGCGTTTCTCCTGTAGTGACGATGCTCAGTTCGTTGTTTCATCCTCTGGGCCATTACAAGCTCAGAAGGCACCAGTATGAAAGTTTGAACTGGAAATGGAATGTTGCTTTACCACCGGATGTCCTGACCTGTAACCAGGGCTAGTGGCAGCCTTAGGACTAAAACGATACAGAACTTCTCAGGCACAAGCAAAGCTTTGTGGTGACTATAGGAATGAATGTCCTGAAAAAACATGGTGAATTGGGAATGCTCCAAAGCATGTTTTTATAGAGCAAGGAAAAAGATTGGCTGAATAGTAATATACTATGCAGAATGCTTGAATTTCACCCCAAATGGATAGTTTGGGAATGAAACACTGTGTTTTGAGAAACTGAATTCTGGAACCTTCTCTGTGCTTGCTTTAATTGCAGCTGCAAACAGTGAAAGTTTGAAAAAAACCCAAAACCCCTGTTGAAGTCAATTAGGGCACTTTTATAGGAAAGAATATGAGGTCATGCTCCCAGTCTGCTTGTCAGTCGGGATGAACACAAGCCAGCGCTGATAAGAAATGAGGTAGACACGTTAGCCAGCCTGCTGTCACGTGGGGCTTAGAACCAGCTGGACTGAAGAAGTGGATGTGTGAATATGGGCAGTGAATGTATCCACGCTCGTGGACAGCAGGATGACTGTGAGCC